CAGGGAAGAGAGAGACAGACAGGGAAGAGAGAGACAGACAGGGAAGAGAGAGACAGACAGACAGAACCCTGTGTGGTTGCCGGTTTTTTTTTTGTAGAATAGCGCCACGGGACCTCCGCCTGTCGTAGACCGTCGCCTGTCGAGAAAATCTTTCTACAATTTTTGTTTAAAGAGTGCCTTTTTTTATCACATCAATTCTTAATGACCAGAAATCCATTGAATTTTAGGATTACAAACCTTAAGAAGTTCATTAGATAAAGCAACTTAAATCCATTAAATTGTGAAGATATAACATAAAATTTTTAAATTAAAAAACAAAAGTTTTCATGAACTTTTCAGCATACCTGCTAAACGATGAAATTCAGGAAGAATCTGTAACAATACACAATTATGATCTCCCCAATATTGGTGTGTCTCTCTCCATTCCATAGAAGAAGCTATGCAGTACTGCATGTCATTTTCACAATTAATAACCATAACTGTAGGGCCTCGATAATGCAAAACATGGTGATTGAATCTGCATAAAGAAATCATTCAAAGTATTCAATACAATGAAAACAAGTCTATATAATTTCTATAAAAGCCTTTTCTTCTCTACCCTACCTGTTCGAACCAAGACCATCTTCACTACTCCTGTACAAAAGGGTCCAGTGAGAAGGACATACAGAACCCATCTGCAAAACAATCACAATACATTATCAATCACTAAAATGAATTTGAGTAAACAACCAAGGTTATTTATTGCAGTCAGGAAGCAAACCATCACAAAGAAACAAAACTTATACATTTGCTTATTTTCTTAAAAAATCAAAACAAAAAAATGTACTAGTAATCTCCAATGATATCAATAAAACAGAATAAGTATGTGTGTGCGGCCTGTGGTGCCATTTATTGAGACCCGTGAACAGTTATTAGTCAAAAGTGAAAGTCTTTTCTTTCATCCATGTTGGGTGAAAACATAGCGCACCTATGCACACATCCTACAAGGGTAAACACCCCCTTAATGTAAAAGTAGGATTAGTTTATATTTAAGATTTTCTTCTACTAAATTAAGAAATGCAAAATCATCCAAAAGCATTTCCCTACCTCATGCATGGTATGGCCACACATGATTCCACCCCCACCCACCCCTCCACTCGTTTCAGAGCACCTGGGCAAGAAATAAAGGCATGAAGATGATCTGCAATTACAAAATGGTAAGAATGACTTCTGCCATTCCAGTCATTCTGTCTTTCCAGGGGGAAAACATCTTATCCCGTAACAATCTTGAGAATGCAAATCAGAATTTTTGAAAAATTTTACATTGATTTTTTGAAACTACCTCCGCAACTGTTCTTATATTTGCCAAGAATCAAGTCAAGTAACACTAAACCCTGGATAAATAAAACACTAATAAAATGAAGAAAACAAGCAATGATCATGAAAGAAATACAGAATAACAAAGTACTAAGAAGGCATTTCAGCATGCAGAGAAACTGCCAACCCTATTAGAAGTTACACTAGACAGAAAAGAAAAACAAAACATGAGAAACTAATGGAAATAACTGCAAACAATTCTACTCCTACTGATGTCAACAAATCACATTCAAAACAAACATACCAAAGATTACAACAACAATAGAATCCATAGCTTGCACTTGAGAAATTGTTGAACTTTTAACAGATCATTTCCAAATGGGATACAATGGAAACTGATGATAAGATTTGAATCAGACTTTGAAACAATAAATTTACTTTAATTTTATTTATTTATTTGTCTATTTATTTAAATTAACAGATATAAATCTATTACAAGATATAAACATGTTTACAAACACTGTTTCCCCTCACAAGAGTAGCAGCAGCTACGAGAGGTCAATATATCTACAATATTTATGAAACAAAGCATGATGACAATAGAGACACTGAGGGTCAGGGAGTTTTGAAGCAATAGACCTTCACATGTGCAGTTTGGGTTTTGCATTGGACATGCATTAAAGACTGACAGTGCTGACGATTACTGTAATGCTTTGCATTCAAAAACTTCCCAATCAAACTGAAAACTGAGTGTGTGGGGGAGGGCTGTGCAGCACGGGCCACGAGGGTGGAGGGAAAAAGTAGAAAAGAGGCTTGTTGCAACCCTATTGAGAACAACCAATCACTTGCTTCAGAATCAGTGGGATGAAGTCTATCCAAAGATTAAATTGTGTCATACTTCAATGTGTTGCAATAATGTGATCAATTAATAATGGAGTAATGTAAGTAGTTGGTATGGTGAGAAAACTCTGTCCCTTGTAAACAACAATTGTTTTACAAAGAAGTTGCTTCATAGTAAAACCCAACTTCGAACAGTAAACTCCTGAACAGTTTCAGTATTAGAGACCCAGAACACTGCAAGAGACATTTTAATATTGATAAGGTTCAAAAATTAAATTGCACAGGAAATTGAATAATTCCTTAAATTTTGTTATGAAAGAATGTTTTGTCTTTTTTTTTCAATTTCACTTCACAGAAATTTTGGGTTTCTATACTTCTCTGATCACCCAGAGTGGGGCACCCAAAAGAACTCTATCTCCAAAAATGACATTGAAAGTTCATAAAGGCTTTATTTTATTATTACTGCTTGTAAAAACATAATTCAGGTTCTATCATTTTCTATTTAATTGGGTGCCCACGTGGCACTGTGTCCATGGACATCCTTTGCCATGGATGTGGCATCACCCAATTAAAGACTGACTGGCCACAGAAGCCACTCTCCATCAGTTTCTGTTTGACCACCTTTTGTTTCCACATTTCTCCCACCATCTATCCTTCATCTGTCCCCCATAACTGCTTGCCTTCCACAAAATTTATGACCCAAAGGACACAAAAACCTGGTTTTGAAGGCCAAGGACAAATCATTTAAAAGTTACGTGCAAGTGTAATGAGTGTTGCAATAATCTATTTTGTAAGTCATAATGGGCAATTTATGGATCCTCTGTTTATTTAAGATTGTATTGTTTAGTTTAACACTACCATAGGGGAAATTAAAATCTGCAGTATTTTCTTTGAAATGTTTACTGAATTAAAAATTGCAGAAACTCACTCTTACAAAGTCTAAATGTGTAGTATTCAGCTGCTGAAGCAGATGAAATTTAACAAAAAATTGAAGTTTTGATGGCATAAAGTTTATTATATTGGACTGTTTTAGTCAAGCTTGCAAGGTTTAAATCCGATCAAAGCCATAGATGGGTGAAAAAATACTTTGTATGTCTTCCTTTGAAGGGAAAGAAAGCTGGCTGACCCAGGCGGTAGATTTACTGCTCGTGAAATATCAAGCATAAAAGAATTTGAGCCAAATTCAAATCACCTGCTTCATCATCTGAATGATACTTTCTTTCTCCACCAGATGGCCGAAAGGAGTAGCCGAAAGGAGTAGCAAAATTTGCATGGCCAGGCAAAAGAGCAGGCCTGATGACCCGTGTCTTACCATGTAATTTAGGGTATGAATTCAATTCAATACAAACCTCAATACAACCTTAGGAATTGTGCTTACATTTAGCTCCTTCAAAAAACGCCAACTATTTTTAGTATTCGTAAGAACTATCTTATGTCCTACTACATATATCCCTAAAAACTATCAACTATCATTAAAAACCTGTATATCAGGTATCAATTGTGTAGAAAAGTAACAGCTTCATCAATGCAAGCTTTAATGGCCGGTGTCAGCATGAAAATTGCTGTTAGGTCATGGTTCAGTTCGGTTTTTACAGTGTTTCAGATGTTCTGTCTACACCTACAGCAGATATCCTAAGCGGCTGTAGAGCAATGGTCTGTAACGCCTATAGTATTTATGCCAGAGGTACATATGCCAGAGACATTTATGACTATCATTCCAACACCGCTTAGAATATATGAAACAGGTGCAGATTTTTGCTCTTTTGCAAAGTGGTACCAAATTCTCTTGCAACCCTTTTAGCAAGTAGAAAACTTTTCTCATTTGAACAGTTTTATCTGAGATGGAGTCTTCCTTGCAAAGATGAGCTTTGATCAGAACCTAGGACGATCTCTGTTCTAACCCATAGATCTACATCTGCACAAGTTGATCTCAACCAATTCAACACATATCTCTGGGAAGAAATCACGATTTAACACTCCCTTATAAAAATTGTCAGGAAACATTTTGATTAAACTTGTTTAAAATTAAAGCTCCAGAACTGCTTCACCTTTGTAGGTAATGGCTTGACATGTTCATGGAAATGGATCTCCGATATCTTCCTCTAACTGATGAGTTGGTGCATCACGCTGGAACAGCCATGTCGGCACACACATCAATTGATTTATAGCTAATTAATTGCCATGTATTTTCGAGGCGCACACAGGTGTGAAATGAGTGCCAGCACACACAAGTTAATCCACATCATAGGTCGGTGAAAACCGTCAGATGATTTATTGCTAATCAATCGCCGCATGTTGCAACCACTCGCCGCATTTTGGAATCAATCGCCGCATTTTGGAATCAATCGCCGCATTTTGGAATCAATCGCCGCATTTTGCAATTAATCGCCGCAGTTTTTGAATCAATCGCTTATTACTCATTTGGATTTCTCCCTGCTACACAAATTTAATTCTTCCTTAACATTTTTAAATTAGAAAAAACATACTCTTTCATAACGGGCCTGACTAAGCTCTGCGATTTTGAAAGTAATTCATTAGTTTTGGGAAGTACTTTACGTGAAGCCTCTGGGACGTTTCCATTTTTTTCTTTCAAAAATGGTTCAAAATTTTTGAAAAAATCGTTCAGTTTTTTCTTTTAAATTTCTTATAAAAATATAGTAAAATGCACATATAAATGTGGCATAGGTCCAATTTTCAGTTAACTGAATTTTCGAAAATTTCAAAAGTTTGAATTCTTTTCGGGGTTTTCCTACAATTGAGGAGATTTTTCGTTCAAATGAAATTTGTTGTTGATAATTGGTTTTTATTAAAGTCAAGTGCCTCTTTTTACATTTTAGTAGTTTCCACGCAATATTGCATGCAATTTGTGTAATTAAAAAAATCTCATCAAGATTTTCTCAACAAAAAAAAAAGCTCCAATTTTTTTCTGTAAACTTATGGTGGGGTTTGTGCTAAATGCACTCTATGAAATGGCATATGGCTCTATTATTTCATGTTAAAAAATTACAAAAACGTATTTTTTTTACTTTTATCTCGCGTCGTCAATACTTACATTGGTGGCATTTTCCTAACGTTCTTTTAAAGAGAACATGTGCTTTAAATAATGTATAAAGCTTCTCAAAAACTGAACAGATTTTTGTCAAAACGAGCTCAAAAATTCGCAATTTCAGAAACGCTCGAACGCTATTTTCTCGAAAACGCCTCCAATTTTTATCTTTAACTTCTTCGGAAGGATAGTGCCAATTGCACTCTTAATATGGCGAATGTTCATTTCTTTTCTTTTTTTTCACAAATTACACAAATTATTTTTTTTAAATATCTCTTACGCCAGTAATATGCACATTTCCAGCAATTTGTAACCACTTTTGTATTTGTGAGTTAAAATACTTGAAATGAAGTTTTTGAAAACAAATGTAAAAAAGCTTATATTTCGAATTCACTGTAGCTCTTAAGTGCCATTTTCTTAAAAACCGCTCCACATTTTTCAAAGAACATTGCCATTCAGGTCGAAGTTTTACTATTCTTTAATATTCTTAAA